AAACAAAGAAGTGTTTGCCATAGTTTTATACTGCAGGGAATAGGGAGATGACAAGGAAACCTGTGCTCATCAGGGAATATGAATCTTAGAATGAGGACAGGTAGAAATATATAAATAGCCATGTGCATCTCCCTTTGCACTGGGAGAGAGGCTAGAATAGAAGAATCCAAGATTTGTAAAGTAATAGAGTGGGCTTCACAACTAACAGATGCGGTGTTCCCTATCCTGGGGAGGGGCATGTAGCTCTGACTCAGGTGGTGCAAAGGCAATTTATGTAACCAAAGCATTTGTACCCCCCTTATACTCTGAAATTAAAAAAAGTAAAAAATAAAGACTGGATTCAGACAAACTCCTTCTTCTTGCCAGAGAGCTCAGTGCTGTTCATTTTTCTTCTCATTTCTCTGGAGGGAAAATAATTTTGATAATGTGAGGAGGTCATAGCCCAAAAGTCTTCTTATACCATCTGGCCCTCTGCAAAGGTTGGTTAATATGATGATTTTGTATGTTAGGTACAAATAATAGTCTGTTTAATGATAATGACCTCCTACAAGAATCTTATCCCACAAGTATCAACTCTTGGGAAAAGAAAGAGTAAGAATTTCCCTTTTCCTCCATTGGTTCTAGAATGTTTAATATTGTCACATAGATGTGATTCATTGCTCTTGTTCGAGTATAGATTAGAAACAAGAATGTGAAAGACACTGTTATACCTCTAGTGTGTTTCATGACAAGACATTTAAAAATGCAAAATTTCAGGATATTTTTAAGATATACACTAAAGCAACTGTCTAAAAGATTCCCAGTGGGCTTGAGGCTCAGTTCTCCATAGTGGCAGACCATAGACAATTGCTTAATTGGCTGCCCTTTCCTATCTCACTATGCCACTAACATTTTTTTTTTTAATTTCAGCATATTATGGGGCTAAAAATGTTTAGGTTACATATTTCCCACTAACTTATCATGCTTCCTGGGACCATCTTTCAAATAAACTGCTTATACCCAAACCTTTGTCTCAGTGTCTGCTATAGGGAAAATCTAAACTAAAAAAATGTTCTGTTTTCTCTTTTTCTAGTAGAGGGAAATTTTGAGCAAAGGCCAGTGATGGTATTTTTGTGCTGTATGTATATACATTGATAGGTATAATTCACTCAAGAAAACATTTCAATTATTTTTTTAAAAAAGTTCTTACATTTTAGAAATTTGTATTTATTAATTAATAAAAACAACAGCAGGAATTGAACATTCATATTTTGATATAATGTGGTACGACATTTTGGTAATATGCAATATATAATTAGGTTAGTTTAAGAAGTCAGGTACAGAAAGATAAATACTGTACATTCTCACATTTGGGAGCTAAAAAAAACTTGAGCTCATAGAAGCAGAGAACCATATAACTGTGGTTCTTACAGGCTTGGAAGGGTAGGAGAGAATGAAGGATGGGAAGAGATTGGTCAACAGATACAAAATTACAGCTAGATAGGAAGAATGAGTTCTGCTGTTCTACAGCACTGTAGGGTAAATGGGGTTAACAATAATTTATTGTATATTTTCACAAAGCTAGATGACAGAATTTTGAATATTCCCAATACAAAGAAATGATAAATCTTTAAGGTGATGGATATGCTAAGTACCCTGATGTGATTATTACACTTTATAGACACATACATACCTCTGTATCCCATAAACATATACAATTATTACAAGTCAACTAAAAATAAAAGAAAAAAATAAAAAAAGTAATATTTTAGTGAAAAAAGCCAATTTTAGCAGAATTACATTTGTAATATTTCAAAGCTTTGCAATATGGTACTTAGGGACACTAACATATGAGGTAAAACTGAAAGAAAAACAATGGAATAATAAATAAAAAATTCAGGAGAATGATGGACTTCTAAGAAAAGTGGAGGGACTGGGGTCAGGCCAGGATCCTGGGAACTCACAAGGCACTGTCATTATTCTTTTCCTTAAACTGGGTAATGGGACACATGTGTTCAATGTATCATAGTTCTTTATACTTTACATATTTCTAATTAAGATTATTTTCTAAATGTTTAATATGTCATAAAAAACTTTTTGTATAAAAGACATCCAAAGGACAATGAAAAATAGCTTTCTCATGGTGTCTTTACTATAGGATATTACTGAAACAAGAATTCAAATAATTTATATTTAGATAATAAAAAATATAGAATGATAAATAATAGATTGTTTCTCACTAATTCAGGATTCCAATAATTACTCATATTGTTAATGAACCCACAAAGGGGGTTTAACGTTGCCCAGCAAAGAAAGCCAATTACTGAGACAGTGAGGATTGTTATAGAGGAAAGCATTTATTTCAGTGGACACATCAACTGGGAGGGGGAGGTTATGAACTGCCTCAAATCTGTCATGTTGGTCAGGGGGGGTTTCTCAAGGTGAAATGAATCATTATTCATTCATGTATGAGGGGTGTGAGCATCATTTTGTGTTTAGTTTGGCATGCAGAGCAGGAAAGCACAATGAGAAATCCTGCTAACACCTTTCGTACTGCTCATGAGTTTTCTTGTGTTTCATACACCATCTGTTAAGGACCGCTCACAAGTTTTCTCGTGTTTTGAGTGCCATCTGTTATGGACCTTAGATGTCAACACACTGTCTTGTCCATTAATGAGAATAATAACCTCTACTCTCTGGTGGTAAATTTGGTTTACTGCCAGATTTGAAAATGAAAACATCAAGAATGAAGAAAATGTGACATAATATTTTCCAGAAAAGGTGATATTCTTCTCCTAGCATGGAAAGACAAGCGGGTTGTCCGAATGATATCAATGATCCATGACACTTCTGTCTCGACAACAGGAAAAAAAAATAGAAAAACTGGAGAGAATATTGTAAAACCTGCCTGCATCAAGGAATACAATGCCTACATGAAAGGTGTTGATTGTGTGGATCAATTCCTTTCGTGTTGCTCCATTCTAAGGAAAATGATGAAATGGACAAAAAAATTAGTGCTGTACCTTATAAACTGAGGACTTTTCAATTCATTTAGAGTGTACAATGTCCTCAATCCACAAGCAAAAATGAAGTATAAACAGTTTCTGCTATTGGTGGCAAGAGACTGAATAATGGATGACAATAATGAAGGCTCTCTGGAACCAGAGACAAATCTGTCCAGCCCTTCCCCTAGGGGTGCAAGGAGAGCACTTCGTAAAGATCCACCCAAAAAGTTGTCAGGTGATATGAAGTAGCATGAACCTACGTGTATTCCAGCGAATGGAAAGAAAAAATTTTCTATGAGAGCCTGCAGAGTTTGTGCCACCCATGGAAAAAGGAGTGAATCTAAATCCTTTGTAAATTTTGTTTGGTTCCTCTTCATAGAGGAAAATATTTTATGCAGTACCATACATTAAAAAAGTACTAGGAACTTTAATTGTTTAATTAGTTGCTTAATTGTTTTTGTAAACAAAAATTATAATTATTGAAAAACAACACCTAAAGTGAATTATGATCTGTAGTTATGATGATTTAAATAATGTGCAGTTTGCCCAAAAACGTGCAGTCCGCGGCATATGTCTTAGAGATTTCTATGCGGTATGAAATGTGCTAATAGACACATCCCCCATGATCGAAAAATGGCATATAAGTCCCTCCCAGTGTGGAGAATTTAGTATTATAATGAGCAAGGGGTTGGTCATTGTTGCAGCCTCATGCTTGGGCTCAGTAGGTCTTTGGGTACGGTCTGTGGTGGAGTATCACTTATCTTGTTTTCTCTAGACAAATAAGTGGTGTGAGGCTTTGTAGGAGGTTGCACTATTCCTGAGAAATAAGAATGAGAAAGAGAATGTATCAGTGCAACAGAAAGTTATAAAGTTCTGGTCAGCAAATCTTACTAAAAGTTCTCTATTTTCTACAAATTTTGAGACTGATGCTGCTAAGCTACCAGGGCTGAGATAAATCTTACTGTCAAAGTCATTTACAGCTTCCAGCCCCAGACATAATGTGAACATTGAAAACTCACTTGAAACACGAGGGGACTAAAAGTGTTATTGAGAAAACATTTTCTACCTATGGAGCACCAGTTACAATTTCCCCCCATTCCTTCTATGGAGGAATGAACAAAGAATATTGTTCATTCCTCAATCTTGGGGAATCAGGGTGTTGATCAAGCTGGCTGTTTTCTGCCGAAGTAGGATGTAGTTGGGGCATGAGGATGGAAAGTTTTTAGCCTGTTGCTGAAAGTGCTCATGAGTCACAGGTAAATGATTGAAACTCTCTAATACCATTACTTGAGTGTTTTTGCTTGTTTTGAAACAACACTTTAATCCACATTTAATTAATACATTTATGATGAGATAAATCAAGAAAATTAGTAGTAGGAAGGAAAGACTAAATATTAAGATCTTTGAAGGAATAGAGTGAATATTCTGAGGAATCCAATAGAACAGTTCTGAGAACCAATCTCCCTGTCCTAGATCATCTTTGCTAATCCACTGTAACCATGAAGTTTGTTATCTATTTTATCAATATGTGTTTCCACTTCTATGGAGGTATCTATGTCAGTGAAACATGAAGAATTAGCTATAACACAAACATACCCTTGTTCTGCTAAAATACAGCGAAGAGTAATGTGATTATCAAGAACTACTTGAGCTAAAGAGTTTAAAGATTTTTGTTGAGCAGCTATTGCTAATGCAGTTTTATTAGCAATCATTTTTAAGTTATAAATAGGTTACAAAGCACATGTCCGGGAGCTGTCACTCCCCACCAGGGCAAAAGAGTATACTCAAAGTAGTAGTTGTCTCCATTGGAGATTTCCCCTGGGAGGTACTGTCTTGGGGCTCCCCAGATGGAATCTCTATCTAAAATTCCCCTACTTATCTGTGAAAACAATTTCAGGGAGTTGGTCCAATGAGCAACTTCAAATCTGTTATGGATTGAAAGGGGAGTTGTGAGGAGTCCTAGTAAACAGGTATCCCTGTTTGAACAGCTGTTTAAACAGTCACAAGCACAAGGAGTTCGTTTCTTATCTTTATAGACAAAAATATACCCAACGGGTACACAAACAGTAGCTGTTCCTGTTTCAAGGTTTATACAACCATTTTTAGGCAACATTAGGGTTAAATTTTTAAACCAATGGCCTGTGTAATGGATCCTGTCCCTCTGGGAGCTAACAGACTACTAGTTTCCCAAAGTCTTGAGAATATAGCTTTTGTTGATGTACTAGGGTACAGATAAGGGCCTCATGATCCTTGTCTGAGGGGTTAAAACATTTCTTAATAACACAATCTAAAGAGGGTGGTGTAAAAAAGACTGTAATAGTTGGGATTTTACAATCAGTGGTCAATCTAGAGAGACCAATGGTCCAGTAGAAAGTATAATTATGATAGTATGGGACCCTACTGTTACTTTGTACATAATATGTCTGATAAGGGGCTGGGTAAGAAAGAAACATGGGACTTGTGAGTAGAGAGTTATTAGTCATACTCTGTAGGTAATCCAAGAGACAGGCTTCTGTAAATTCCAAGTGCAGGAGGGTATATTAATGAAGTTGCATATAGGGACAAATATAGGGTCAGAATGGTCTTATACTGAATGAGGTTTTGGATGATGGACCCAGCAGTCAGACAGGCTAGCAGAGGAGGCAATAGCTTGCGAAATTCTAACTAAAGAATTGTCTTGCCAGGCAAGCAAAAATTCCCAAGAAACAAATAAGATGTATAGGTTATATAATTTCATGTTACTTATCTCTTTTATGGGGGAGTAATTTTAGGTCCTCTAAGGGCTCACAAGTCCACTGCTTCTCCAATCCCTCAGAAGGTAAGGTAACTCTTCTGAGTTTAACTATTGAGTGAGTTTTCAGGAGCACCTCAAATGGGCTGATCCACTCTGGCCGTAGTTGATCTTCAGGATGCCGGTTTCTCCAGGTTTTTAGTAACACCTGGTCTCCTGGCATTATGGAATGAAGGGGCATGTCTGTCAGAAACTGGAACCTGTTGGAAGGAATGCAGAAATAGTAGTTAGTGTATTACCAAAATGTTTTATATAGGAATGAGACGCCTTCTCTGGGAATAGAAAATCATTGGGTGAGCCCTGGCTAGAACCTCTTAGGAATGGTCTCCCATATAAAATTTCAAAGAGGCTAAGTGCCAGCTTACCTCTGCGGACCACCTAAATTCTCAACAGGGCAAGGCATAACACTTTGTCCCAAGTTAAACTGGTCTCTTGACAAACTTTGAGAGAGTCCTTTTTAAGGTTCTACTTATCCATTCAGTTTTCCCCAAAGATTGAGGTATCCATGATGAATGCAGTTTCCAATGGAGTTCTAAAATTCTTGATATTTCTTGGATAATTTTGGCAACAAAGCAGGTTTCATTATCACTTTTAAGAGTTGATGGAAGTCTAAACCTATGAATAATTTTCTTTAAAAGGGCCTTAGTGACTTCTGATGTCCATTCAGTCCTGGCAGGTTAAGCTTTAACATATCCTGTTGGTTGGAAACCAGAGCATACCCAGCTTTGTGTTGTCTATGTTCCGTGAAGCTATTGCCATCTATGAGCAATTCCTCATCCAGGTCTGACAAGGGCTTATCAGTCATATCCAGGTGGCTAGAATATACTTGGTCAATGATGTGAATGTAATCCTGAACTAGGAAGTGAGAGCCCATAGGCACAAAGGTGACAGGATTCAAGGTGGACACTGTCTTTAAAGTTACATTAGGATTATCTAACAGAGTAGCTTGATACTTGCCCCACCAGCCAGTTATCAACCAATAGCCCCCTTTCTGTTGTACTAGGGGTAGCACATAATGTGCAGTGTAAACAGTCACTGGCTGTCCAGAGTAAACTTTTCCACTTGTTAAATATTACAAGTAGCGTCAATTGCTCTGAAAAAAGTGGGGTTTTTTTTTTTTTTGCCACAGGTTACTTATGAGCTCCCAAAATTTAATTTAATATGCGTACTCCAACCCCTTGTCTTACTTGAACAAATTCAAAGGCTTATGCAAATGTGGAAGCCCCAGTGCAGGGGCAGTCATCAGTTTTTCTTTAATAAAAATAATTTTAAAAAGCCTTTTAGCATTCTCCTATCCAACTAAGGGGCTCCTTTTCCTCTTCTTGTAAGGCTTCATATAGAGGTTTGACTTTTAGGCTACAGGCAGGAATTCAAATCTGACAAAATTGTGCCATACCCAGGAATACTTGCAGCAGCTTGTGAGTGGTGGGGACAGCTACATGGTTTACAGCCTCCCTCTGGTCTGGGAGGAGCTTTCAAGTCCCCGGAGACAATTTAAATCCTAAGTATTTGAAAATGGGCAGTGGGATTTGGGCTTTTGGCAGTGATGTTTTATATCTTTTGTCAGCCAAGAAATTCAATACAATTACAGCATGTTGTCTTAATACAGTTTCAGTCTCTCTTGCAATCAAAATGTCATCTATATACTGCAAACTTACTCCCTTTTCTGAAATTAGTTTTCTTAAATCTCTAGCTAGAATTTCTTCAGATAGTTGGAGAATTTTTAAATCCCTGAGGGAGGACATTCCAACAGTACTGACATTTGGTTTTAGTCCTTAAATCCTCCCATTCGAAAGCAAAAAGTTCTTGTGACTGAGAAGCATGGGGAATGCAAAACAAGCCATGTTTTAAGTCTATCAATGAAAACCAGGCAAAATTTCCAGATGGAGAGGTGAGAAGAGTATAAGGATTAGGCACCACAAGATGAATGTTTTTCACTGTTGCCCTCAGATCCTGAATAAACCAATATTCCTGAGTTCCAAGTTTTTGAACTAGCAAAATAGGAGTGTTATAAGGAGAGTAACAAGGCCAGAGAAGTCCATATTTTAAAAGGCCACAACTAGGAGTTCAAAACCCTTCCTAGCTTGCACCTTTAATGGATACTGCTTGAGTTGAGAGGGAAAAATTCCTGGTTTTATGTTGATATAAGCAGGGTCCACGTGTGTCCTTCCAGGTTGTGTGGTAGCCCAGATCTCAGGGTTGACTTGAGGACTTCAGTGAGCAGCTTCTGAAGGACAACCAAGAAGGTGAGCAGAGCTGCTTGGAAGCCACAGGCATGTTCTGGGAAAACTGCAATATGCACTATTTTATTATGAAAGGTCATTTAAGAGTGTAATTTAGAGAGAAGGTCTCCACCCAGCAATGGAAGAAGGTACTCAAGCATATACAGAAGTTTGTGTGACTTCCCAATACCACAATCCAGTGGCTGGAAAGAATATTTTTTGTGTGGGTTGTCCAGATACCCCCAAACACCAGCATTGAGTGGTTAGTAAGCTTAGCTAATTTAAGTTTAAAACTGAGTAGGTTGTACCAGGTATTTCATCAGGTATTTACCATTTCAATCAGGAAATCGATCATTTTTTTTTCCTACTTTTATGGTTACCCTGGGCTCCTAGTGGGAGATATTAATCACTGGCTATAATTCTCATAGATTCTGGGGAGCCCTGGGGACCCAGATTCCATATCTTCTGTATTTAGACCCACAATTTTATAGTAGCTTCCCTGTCCATCTTTTGCTGTTTTTTAGTCTGTTCATGGTTTATAAATTCCTTATAAGCCATATCAATCAAATGAGAGATGGGCAAAGCAAGAACCCCCTCTAACTTCTATAAATTTTATTGGATGTCAGGCATGTTCTGGCCAACATAGGCTATTTTAATTAACTTTGAATTAGCAGGACTTTCTGGATCTATATCAGTATATTTCTGATATGCCTTCATAATCTTTTCTAGGAAAGCTGATGGATTTTCATCTGTTTCCTGTCTTATTTCCTGAACCTTGCTCAAGATTTTAGTTTTAGGGACACCTTTCATAAGCCCAACCAGGATGCAGTCTCAAAAATGTTGACTGTTACCTTCTTCTCCATTGTTTGGGTTCCAGATGGGGTCATGTGTTGGGATGGCTAAATCAGCTCTAGTTCTCACATGGTTATCTGGGTCTTCTGCATGCAATCGTTCAGCTTCTACTTTAGTCTTTTCCAGGACAATGCAATGCTCCTCGGAGGTTAACAGTATGTTAAGCAGGCTCTGGACAGCTGCCCATGTAGGGTGATGAAGGGGGAAAATAGATTCAAACAGATCAGTTATAGGTTTTGGATCATCCCTGTAGGCAGGGTTCTTTGGTTTCCAACTGTACAAATCAGAAGTAGTAAAATGGGTTATAAACCAACATTAATCCAGCTGGTTGTCCATTCTCATTCACTCTTCCTATAGGGACCTGTCTCAAAAGAAATTGCCCTGCTGGGAAAGAGGGAGGACCCCAACCAAATTGTGTGCGCTGCTGGGTGTATGAAGGACAGACCATGCCCCCATGTTTCCCATGACTATTCTCAGAGAAGGAAGGAAGTGAAGGATAGATGGCTGGAGGAGCCAGTGGAGTGTGGGGTAAGGAAGAAAGGGAGCCAGAGCCATAAGTGGGGCACAGGAGGGTTAGGAGAGAAATCTTCAAAAGAAATTAGAGCTGCAGCCAGAGCCCCTTCTGTGGCCAAAGCTGCAACCAGCAAATCAGGCACAGCTTGAGCCTCAGCCAGCACAGGCACAGCTGGAGCCACTGCTATAGCTGCCCAAAGATCTACTTCAACATGGACATTTTCTTCTCATGGCAATATAGGGTTCTTAGATCTGGCTGCTCTTCCCCAACTTTCTTGAAGGCTTCTGTCCTCTGTATTGGAATCTCACATTTAATTGGATCTGCTTCTTTTGATACAAAAGCATAAAAGACTGTACATAAGGGATTTCATCACATTTCACAACACAGTGACAAAACATATCTAATTGGAGAATAGGACCGTAGCTCAATGAACCATTAATGGGCCATGTTTTCCCAGACCCACAAGAGTATTAAAGCCAGGCAGTATTACACAAATATACCATTTTTTCTTTATAGACTCATAGCCATCTTCAGACCAGTTTGTAAAAGATGGTTAGATCAAACTGTTTTTGACAAAGTTAGGTCTTGTTCACATGGCCAAACTTTAGTTGCCCCAAGAGGCAATGTCATGAAAACTATGGACTAAAATTTTGGGTAAAGCAGCTTTCGTGAGAGTTTGAGTTTTTTTAAAAGGCCTCTTTAACCTTATTTTTTTTTCCTTCAGTTTCAGATGAGTAACTGGCTGTTCCCAGCTGGCCTTGAATTTGTGATAACATAGTTCAGTGAGCTCCATCTCAACATCTATAACTTAGAAATCACAGCTTCAGCAGGGAAAAGATAGACAGTTTAACAAGCTTTGCATTTTAACTCCACAGTGCCAGATCGACCATCTGAGCTCTGAAATTTTCTTTTTCTTTTTATTAATTTCAGGGTATTATAAGTGTACAAACATTTTGGTTATATTTTATATCTTTGCCTCTCCCTAGTGAGGGTTAGAGCATGCCTTTCCCTTCTACAATGCTCACCATGTCCTTTAGTTGTGAGTTTACTAACCTCAACCCCCTAATCCCTGGAGAATATGACTACCATGTGAGCACCATAGTGTTAATCAGTCAGTACCAATTTGATGGTGAGTACAAGTGGAGCCCATTCTTCCGATCTTGTGTTACCTCTCTTCGGATAATGGGCTCAAGTTCAATTCAGGAAAATATAAGAAGTGCTAGATCACTGTTGTTTCTAATTGAGTAATATTCCATTGAATTTTCTTGATGTAATTTGCTCATCAGTTTAAACATGTGCACAATAATAGAACATAATATGTGGAGACCAGCTGAAGTCCTAGAAAACCTGGCATCTCTTTAAACTTTCTATAGACAGTGCATTTATATGCCACATATTAATACAGATAAACACTCAATACAAAGAGAAATGTAAAAGGTTTCAAACAAAAGCCCGGGAAAAACACATCAGACAAAACAAAACCCAAAACAAATACAGTACTTTCAGTACTGTACAAATGTTTATATAGGGAGACTGGAGAGAACTTTTCAAGAATCTCACCTCAAACCATTACCAGAAACAACCTGTTCTAGGTCCAAATGGCACAAAAGTCCAAATGGCAGGAACAGAAGATTCCTAGTGTACAACTTTGACATTTACAGATGGAATTCTTATTTTCCATATCACACACACCAGAGGGACTGCAGTTCCAACAAATAAGCCTAAGGAGTGCCCGATAGAAACAGTCACAGGTCCTGCCCTGCCAAATGATTGAGGCCTCTAACCCAGACAGGACTCCAGAGGAATTCCCCAAATGGAGAGAGGAGTTTTAGATTCTACTCTCCCAAATGGCTGACGCTTCCCCACCCAAATGGAAATTCCAGAGAACCTCCCAGAGGGAGTGATGAGTTTCTCTGATGTGCAGTACCTTCAAAGAGCTCTCACCTGTCCAGATACAAATGCCAAAATCAAAAAGTCAAAGGTCCATTCATCCCTTCTCAGGGATGCATTTGGGGCTGGCAACAGGGAAATTAGTAGAAGAAACCAAAAAACCAACCTCCGACAGAAACTCAGCTAGGCAGTTGCCAGGGAGATTTTAAAGTCTCTCCCCATTCCCTGGCCACCAATCCACGAGCAATGGATCCTGGATGAGTCCCCAAGTGGGTAACAAACCAACAAGGGGGGGTGTCGATGTTGCCTGCAACACAGAAAGCCAGTTAGTGAGATAGCAAGGATTGTTAAGGAGGAAAGGATTTCAGTGGACATGTCAACTGGGAGAGGGTTATGAACTGCCTCAAATGAACCTCCCCAACCAAGATGTTTTTCCTAGAGGTGAAATGAATAATGCAGGAGGGGTGTGAGCATCATTGCTGTTTAGTGTGGAGTGCAGGGCATGCAAGTCCAGTGAGAAATCATGTGAGTACATATGTCCCACCATCAAAAAATGGCAGAAAAGCCCCTCCCAGGGTGGAGATTTCAGTATCATAATAAGCTAGGGGTTAATATTAGTGATTCTTTCAGTTTGGGCATGGTCTGTGGTGTAGTAACTTACCTTTTCTTCTTCAAACAGGTGGTGTGAGGCTTTGTAGAAGGTTCCACCATTCCTGGTAAAGAAACTCAAGAGAAAATGTATCTCTGCCTATTTTCTGCCTATTTTGAGACTGTAGCTGCTAAGCTACCAGGGCGAGATAAATCTTACTGTCAGAGTTACTAAACAGCTGCCAGCCACAGTCACAATGTGTACGTTGAAAACTCATTTGAAAGGTGAGGAAACTAAAAATACTATTGAGAAACTATCTTCTACCTTATGGAGCCAGTTACACTATTATTTACCCCCTTACTCTAAGTGAACTAACAAAAAATATAATAATGATTGTAATACTATTTTCTAAGCTTGGATACTTATTTTTGTAAAGGTATAGCCAATATTCTTAACCAAAAAAGAAAAATTACAAATTGACTGATTGAAAACATTATTTCTGACTGGTTACTTATTCATTTAAATCAATTTGATTTAGAACAAATCATTAGGGCCCCTGGAGAGCAGGGAATAAACAAAATAGCCCTTAAGCCCTGTGGACAGGCCTTTGAAAACCCCAATTCACAACATTTTTAATGCCATGTCACTGGCCATCACCTTAGTTTGAGTTTAGCATGCATATCACAGGTTCCCACGTTGGATGCCCTCATTGTAGCTTTGCTCTCCGGAGGCACTGTCGGTAAAGCAAAACATATAAGTGAAATCCAGAAGAGGCATGTGCTTTGTAATACATTCAGAAAGGAGCTAAAATAAATGACAACTAGAGAATACAGAGATACTTTGCAGAAATTTTGGAGGAGAACAAGGAAGACTTAAAAGAAATCAGAATCCACCTATGCTTGGGTTTTGAATATCAAACTCTTTTAGTAGACAGAGACTCAAAGAACACATAACAATGACAGCTTGGACCTAGTGCTTTTCCCTGTTGGTGTGAAGCAAGACAAAGCCAAGTCCCGCTTTTCTAACACAGAATCACAGCACAGTCACTATTACATGAGTTCCTCCACCTAAATTCTCTTCTGATTCACATGCTGCCTGTTTACGGCCAGGGCCTGTTTCCAGGTCTAAGCCCAATGGGCAGGGTTTAGAAGTGACACAGCACACGTACCTCTGCTTTGCCTGTAAGAGACCTGCCTCAGGAGCTGACCAGAAGTTCTTCTCCTTACAGCACTTTATGTATAGAAGTAACAGAATTCCTTTGAAGCCATGAAGATGCACTTCTCCCACTTTTTCAACAACTCTGAGAACAATATGATGAGGATTAATCCAGTGCAGGCATTTGAAGATACAATAATGTAGCCAAGAGGAAGAAGTGCCAGTGTGGTGTGGGGAGAGGAGAAGAGGATGGAGGAGGGTGAAGAAAATAAAGATGGAGAAGCAGAAGGTCCATGGGAAGAGTCCCATCCCTCCACCTTGAGCACTACCTTGTCCTCAAGAGATCGCAGGTCCAGAGTCAGAAAACCAGCCCGAGAGCCTTCATTCTGCCATTCACTTTTTAAGTGTCCTTGGATAAGTGACTTTAACTCTCTGAGTCTTAGTCTCCATGCTATATAATGGAGATAGTAATAACACCTGTGTTCTCAAGCTCAAAACTATTTGTGAGAATGAAAATGTGGTGTGGCTTTAAGAGGCCCATCCATTTGAGCAACTTCCTATTCAGGATGCTCCAAGAGGAAGTCATTGAGTGATAAAAGGTATGCCACCTCGGCTGGATCAAGATTCTCAATGTCCATTAGCATAGACTGTATGCTTGTCTTCCAGTGACCAAGGTCCTTTGCCACATCAGGGAATGGGGCATAAACGTCATCCTCATTTAGCTCACATTCAAGGCTCTCTGCTGTGGAGGAGTCACTCAGTTCAAAGTGAGAAACATCTGTCAAAAAATCAAACCATGATTAATACTTTTACTGAGCACAAATACAGTCCATACTGCCTGAGAAACAAATTGTGGTGCTTAGTTTAATTCTCTTTTCATCTCGAGTATTCAAATTCCTTTCTTGAATACACTCTGAAGAAAGAAAAGATCTTTTACCATCTTACCAAATGCTAGTACAGAATACAAGAAGAAACTTCTGTTAAGGTATACTAGATTTATCTCAGGTCCTGATGAATGGGCTTTCCTTAATAAAGATGTTCTTAAAATAATGAACATTTCATAAGGCCAAGAAATGGTGAAAAATATGAAGGAAGTAATACCAGATATACCTAGATTCTGAAAAAAAGACTCTGCGTTCTAACATGGATTGCTGGTTGTTATACATAATGAACCTAATCTTGGGGAAACCATTCACTAACCTTATCAATTTCTCTTTTACAATGTTATTTAACACCCATTATCTTATTTAATATTTATAATAACCACAAAGAAATTTTTATTCACATTTCATAAATGAAGATGTTCATTTTCAGTGGCATAGAATAACTGGCCCAAGAAAACACAACTAGTAACTACTGGTACAGGAATTCATATTCTAGAAGGTTGTTTGTCTTTAAATTCAGCATCTCCCTACCCCAAGTGATGTGAGTTGTTTTCAAACAATATCATAGCACATTAGAATTCTGAAAAGTATCTAAGGGACCAGTAAGAGTAAGGAAAGGAAGGAAAAAGAAACAGGCCTGCCTCTACTACCTCTGGGCTTTTTATTCCAGTTTCAATCATAGCACATCCTACTGCATATATTAGGGATCCTCATAAAGTTTTATTAAAAAACAAAGGTTCAAACCATCATACCATAGCATGTTGCCACCAATAACTTCTTGAAAGCTGTGACCTCATTATAGACATTTCTTAGCCCTACCACAATAGGATCATGCCCTGGCCTATTAGCAGGCCTTTTAGGAAAGGATCGGAAGCCTTGGGCCCACTGACCCAGGACAGAGGCTCCCTTCACCTCAGCTGCCAGGGGCTCCAGGAAAACCGTTGCTCACGCATCTTCACAAACACGTGTCCATTTTTCACAAAAAACAATCCAATTATTGGCAATACCTGAGGTATTTTCTCTAGCGCCATGTGTCCCTGAAGATTCTCCATAAAGGGATGTGACTTCTCCTCCAAATACCGTTTCACATTTCTCTAGCATAAATTGAAAGAGCAGTGTAACCTATACAAAGACAGACAAACATGAGGTGCTAGTTCTCACATAACACGTCTATAAATCCCATTTCATATCTGAATATATATGATATCTTCAAACACGCCATTAACTGCCAGGCACTACAGGAGTGAAATTTTTCAGTAACTACTGTATTATTACCACTTCCACATTTTTAGATGAGGACACTGTGGGTCAGTGTCACTGAATTTGCCCAAGATTATGCATCAGGCAAGTGGTGGGGATGAGAACTGCATCTTGCCTTGCCTAACTCCAGCATCCTTTTTGTTTGTTTTGCCTCATTTAAATTTTACAATCATATCACCTGCTTTCTTATCACTCTGTGGTTTACGTTAGTCAATTGTTTACCCTCTATAAAGTGAAAAGAAAAGTAAATCAATTGTTATCACTTTTCTTCTTGACAAATCACTTTTGTACAGTCTACCTTGATAGATTAAAACATCCCATAGTTAGTAAACTCTAATTTAGGTGTATATTTCAGATATTTAAGAAATTGTCTATCAGAATTAATACCTCAAATTACATTTTCAAAATGGTGATGCAGTCCCCCAGTGTAGACAAGAAAATACTCATTACCTTTCCTGCCAATTCATTTTCTGGTTCTGAGCCGCAGGAAGTATCAGGCCAAAGAATGGTGGGAGCCACACATGCTGCCAGGTTTGATGAATCCATCTGATTTGATGCAGAATTTTTCTCAATATTATACAGCAAGGCAAATAGATAGTTTAAGAGCATGACATTTGCTCTTGGAAGCTTCTCTAAAAGCCTAAAGACAGAAAAATGCACTCTTCACATAAGACTTTTTTTTAAACTTGTAAAGACAGGCAACTTTAACTTTGCATAAAGAAAAGGGCAAATCAAGAACACAACTCAGATACACAGGCTTCACTTAACGTTTACTGAGCAAAGTAAGGATGATGAAGAGGAGAAAATAAGCATTTGGGATTTATTTATTTATTTATTTTTGTATATTTCTACACTGTCTTCACAACCCAATAAAAATGAGAAAGAATGCAGAAAAAGTACCATTAAAAAATAAAAACCTTTCTGAAATATTTCCCTGAAACTAGTAGAATGTGTTTAAACTTAGGCAAATCCTATAACAATGCAGAATAATCTCAACCAAAACCTACAAAAAACTTTTCTGATAAAATTAAACAGTAATTAAATTGTAAAGTTCTCCTTTATTTCCACATAGCAACTCAGGAATGTTGTTTATTGGTGAGAACCCAAACCTCATCTATAAAGACGTCCAGGTCGATTATGAGAGTTTATGCTCTGCTCCTCCATCTCCTAAGGTTGATTTTGTCCCAAATCTCACCTCATTAGTATCACTTTCACATATAAGTCAAATTTATAGTAGTATGTTTTCTACTGTACTCATTTGGTAATTCATAAGGGATTTTTAAATGATTATTCATCAAAAATTATTATTACTACCACCCAGAAAATATATATAAGCTGATATTCATGATTGTTGCTTTTTTCTATAAGAATCTGCAACCTGGTGATAACAAGGTAGTCTGACTCCTGTTGCCCAAGTAGCAGAAAAGCCTTTCTTCACTATAATAGACTGACAGTGAGTACAGTTTTTGTAAGGGTAAGTTATGGAGGATTTGAGATAGACCAAAAGATTTCTGGATGTATTCAATAGAAAATAAGGCATCTAGAAAACACTACTGGGCTACTATGGGGTCCCTAAGCATTTTTACAAGAGCTCCTTTATAATTGTGTAAGTTGTACATAACTGATAGCAGTGTATATAACACTTGGCTAAACACTTGAAAATTCTGGCTGCTGGAGAGACAACTGATTTATCTGCACCCTTACCCTGGTAGAAAAGGCCAGTTTAAAAAAATCTTTTTGTAAATTCATTTTCAATATTTCTGGCTCAACTTGATTGAACACAAAAGTTCTGGTAATTTCAAATCTACAAAGATGGCTACAACAACCTCTTGGTTCCCTTATTAACAATTTAAAGAAAATATTTTCACATGCATTTATTTTATATTTGCATGACAATCATAATATTATCTTTTTACCAAAAAACACCCTTTAACAACTTATTGGATGGATAGATAGATACATAATGCTTTGGACAAGGGCAAACAAATATAAACTTTGATGCTATCTCAATGAGTTCCACCAAACAATAATGAAAGTGGAGGTAGTATTATGTCACTTGGTTTAGTTTCTGTTATATTCCACAGGTATAGTATGTTACACATATAAATGATGTCTATCAAGAGCAGTATGTAGATTATTCACATTTAAAAGTTGCTTAAGAAAATAACTGTTCTAAACAAGCATATGCAAGCAAATGATTTTGGGATTCTCGAGTTTTTCCAGAACTCAATGTATTTCTTTTTGTTAATAGATATTTCTTTCCTAGTCTATTATAATGTGAGAAATATCCAGGCATGGGGGTGATGAGTTCTCCAAATAATTGCCCTGTGCATGAGTACAAACAGTGCATACTCTGTAATCAGACTGACACTTTGCAACCCCCCTTTTCCTTGACACTTCTCAAGGAGTTAACAGATTCTCTGCTGTGCTCCCACAGTACTCTCCAGGTATCTCTTTTACAGCATTGATTATACTGCATTGTTATGGTAATTCTTGGTTTATCTATCCTTACTCTACCAAACTAAATCACTTGAGTAGAAGAAATGGGTCATTTTCTCTATATGACTTGAGTTCCTGAAAGAATTATATAAGGAGTTATCTGGTTACCAAAATTAAGGTCACAAACTGTAGACTGGGTGTGAGGTTTGTTCCAGGTGGGAACCCGAAAAGTATGTATAGGACAGAATGTGGTTAATGCAAAACTTAGGCTTGTAAAACAATATCCACAGCAGTCTGGGGAGTCACCAGACTTAGTAGATCTAACTCACAGCTGCAGCCAGCATTCCTTTCCCCGCCCTCCCTGATAGAGACCAAAGTGCTATCCCTCCCTAGTTCTCCTGATAAGGATGATGCCAGAACAGAAGGATGGATGCAACTGGAGCAAAGGGGTCCTAGGAGTTGTTTGTTTGAAGAATTTACTACAAACACCTGTTCTGCTTACCATCCTCTGCCATACGTGAACTGCACGTAGCAGGAAGCAATTCTTCACCTGCCAATTTGGCCCAGAAACAAAGAACTGAACACGCAGGTGGGAGGGGGTCAGCTATCCCCATTTATAAACCCTCACAAAACCCCCTTCTGTGCCTACTCTGTTCTCAGACTCAGTCCACCTGCACCTGGGTGAATAAACCAGCCATGTTGCTCCCAAATAGCCTGTGTGTGAAATGTGTCCTTTGGAACAGTCACCCTTTCACTGGGCCTACAGTATTAGCTAGCCAAGTACTGAATTACACCTCTTATCAATTCAGACATACAGAATGTGTACAGTGTTCAAGTATTCCATGTAAACAGGATTAGGGAGAACACAATAACTATGACGAGCTACCATAAACCTATTTTTAACCACTTCAGGATCAGCGTCGACTATAGTCGATAGCCACAGATGAACGTGCACAGCGACTTTACCCGACAGCTGTGATATGAGTTTTCTAATTTTTCGTTTATCAAAATAAAATAGTGAATATTTAAAGATAACATAATGAAAACATAAATGTATATGTTACCTATTCTGATTTACATTACAAGTAAAAGCTGCCTGTAAAGTAAAACAAGCTTTCAGTGCTTTAAAGCTTTCCTCACCACACAAGAGCAAAACAGATTCATCATCAATGAACAGCACAAACTATCGTGTGAACTATGAGTGCCGGCTGTGGGCAAGGTTTTGTGGCTGGTGAGCGTGGTACCCAGGTTTTTAAACTGGTCGCTCTGAATATGACTTTGATTTTTAACAGATAAACTTATAGTTTTTAAAGTTTTTAGAAAGGATTTTTGAGATATAACAAAATAGAATAATTACCTTTGAATTTTATTTATTTTGTCTTCATCCTCTCCATTATCCATGATACCAACCCACTCATCATAAAGATCTGATGACAAAATACTTCCAGGAATTTCTTTTAGAAAATCCTTACATAGATGAAAAAACAAATATTTTAAATCATTATTCTCATGCCGAATATATAATAAGAGAAACCAGAAAGAATATGTGCTGTTGAAAACTTCAGTTAAGCCCTCCCTTCTATGAAATACACAGATCTCTGTGCCAATTCACCACAGACTGGGGACAAAGAAACAGAGGCTTTGATTTTTTTCTAACACAAGCCATTGGAGTAACCAAAGTCTGGATGATGATGGGAAAGAGAAAGGATAACCCATTTGGGTGGATCCTCTTGTTTGCACACACTTTAGGAAGCTAGTAGAACATGACCGGATCTGGCAGTAAACCATTCTAAGTCCTCTTTTCCCCTTCCCTTAAATGGCTAGCTCAAGGAAATGCACCCAGATATCTGTGAGGCTCATAAACATTCATTCAATCATTGTATAAGTGCTTATTCATAGGTGCCAAGCACTTCTTGAGGTTTTAGGGAGACAGAAGTGAATTAAACTTAGAAATTTATATTCCAGTGCTATTGGGGCACAATTGCATCAAGAGCTAATTAGAATTTTCCCCAGTATTCCATATAGAAGGGTCTCCCCAAATTCCATATATTTGGGGAGATAAAGTATTCTGGGTACAAGCTGAAACCTGGGGGCTTGGGGCAGCACCTCTGTGCTTGACATACAGTAAGTAACGTGTCCACAGTATATTATCCTTTCTTGGAGACCCTATTATTCTGCTGCGACTCCTGGTGAGGCTGGGTGTGCTGAAACCAAACCATGACACAAACAGGATATGACCCAGGGCATTGGCTGTTTTGCTTTTATTTACAAAAACTTAAAAGTAAATTAAATTTATTCCTAGTCCTAGAAAGTTGATTCTATGCTGTCTCTCATTGTTGCTTTTGGTTATAAGCAGCACCAAGCTTTTACTCTGATCTCCCACTAAACAAACATTAGGCAAAGGAAACTAAATTTCACATGGAAGCACTATACCTATAGTTGGCTACTTTCTTGCAATTTCCTGCTTATAACATATAGAAAGGCAAAAGTCTGCAACTGCATAATTTTAACTTTTGCTGGAACACCAAAACAATAATTTTATCTATGTTCTTTATAGAAGGCAACACAAAACCTGTTACTTATGTATCATGTTCATTTCACTAATATGAAAGCTATGATAACTTATTGTTACAGTTAGCTGATTACATGGGCATTATTCCAACTTACTTTTGAGCCCCTCCAGGGTAGGGACAGACCTTCACCATTTCTGTACAAATCAATGCCAAACAAGGTTGCATCCATAGCAGAGGTCACCATTAAACTGCAGCTAGTGTCATATGGCCAAACATTAATGATGGACAAGAGAAGCCCAATCAACTATAAATGAGTTTCTAAGGTCATTTTAAGAAACTCTTTCTCATCATGTCACTCTTTTACCATGCTTTATTTCTTTTTAGAGTAGTTAATAAGAAGGAAGATGGATTGATTCAAAGTCTTTCTCTGTTCTATCATATCTTCTAGTAGAAATGTACCTGCTTAGCTGTGAATCAGGTATATCATTACAAAAGTTATCTGTCCTAGGGTAAAGCTATTTAGGTTTCATAATTCCAAACTAATTTTAGCGATTGTACCCACTTTAAAAGTCAGATTTAGAAGAGGTAAAAATGTATTATTTCAAAATCAGATAGTGATAATATTTCCTTTAAAATATGAGTGGAAAAGAAATTTCTCATCTGTCTTGAAGAGAAACATCGTTAAATCTTAAATCTACACTTGAAAGATAATAACCTAGTAACAACTCAGTGCTCTCCCATGGCTGGAATAACAGGTTGTGAAATACAACCACCATCACAGATGAATAGGACGTGAGAGGTGTGGTTCTGGATTATTGTCACCAACTCACGGCACTTAACTGAAAGTCTCTTCCCTTCCAAAACAGAGCCTAGGCCATCAGCAGAACTCCCAGATTCATTTGAGTTGAGATTCCACAGAATTAAATATGAACTTTTACTCAAAGGTCAGAGGCATCAAAGTTATGGTGTCTCAAGAATTTTTGTCCAATTACACCTTGAGGAGTTAAACTTATATGTAAGCAAACCAGCATAAGTAAAAACTTCAAGAAAATCTTAAGTATCATTTCAAAAGACTTGACAATAAGAAATAAGCAACAACGAAAAAAGAAAACAAACAGAAACACAATGTTTTGGTAAAAAATATGCTCCTTCCTGTAACCACTGGGAAGAAATGTAAGTAAAACATAGTTATATGACAAAACTTCAATTACTTGGAACCCATTAACCAGACTCTTCAATCATGGGGACCATTTTTCACAGTCTGTTTTCAGACAAATACTATTTCTGTGACTTGAAACAATGTAGCTCTTCTAAAATGATACTTCTTTGTGGTAGCCTCAAAAATTTAGCACAAAATTTTAAGGGGTGTAGTGCTATGAAGACTAGCAGTGTACAAAAATGTTTTCTGAAAAAAAAATGTTTTCTGAGACAGACTTTACCTTCTTAAATTAAGAGATGGAAGAAAAACTAATTATATGAAAAAAAGATCCATCATACATGTATGTCCTGGCATATATAATTGAGTACTATAGCATGTATATATTTATTGTATTCCAGGATTGCAGAATACAAACCCTGTCCAAAACAGATTAGACGTTCTTAGCTCAAACTCTCCCATTTTCTTGAGTGACATTTAATAGCAAAATTCTATAGCAGGGTTTGTTGAAGTATAGACATGGACCATGTACCAAGAAACACGTGATTGTAGATAGTCATGAAGTAAGATTGTATAAGCTGCTGGCCACTCAGCTGGAGTAGAGAAATGCAAGATTCATTGTCATCGTGTTTTTATTCATTTGGTTTTTATGCTTTAGGCCTTGAAATGCAGGCTAGGGCCCTGTGTCTACCCCTGGCTCTGGTCTATTCCAATCCTTTGGGAGATAAGAGCTTAAGGCAGTTCTGCAGAGGCGATTTCCAGGGACAAAAACTTCAGCTTAAAGATGGTTTTGACTCTAGCTTTTCCAAAACTGTAGGGCATTTCCAAGAATGTGGGGCAGAAACATTTTAGAACTCTATAACCTTGTAACTACAGATGGGGCTTACGTAACCATGGTTGAAGCATAAGAACTATAAAGAAAGCTAAACCTGTTAAAGGTAAAAGAAAACCTAGATGTCAAATTCATTCCTCCTCAGCTTTTAAAGTAAAAGGGGTTAGGGGACAAGGGAAGAAATAGCTGTAGCATGATGATTATGTAAACAAAAGGAATTTTCAGCAGTCTCAGAAATTTTTGTTTCAGTTATAAGGCAAATGTATTCTATTATTATAAACTTCTGTAACTATTTTCCAAAGTTTAATAAATGTTTGTTTTTGAAAACTTTGCCTTCATTAAGCAGGTAGTGAGACAGTGAGGAAATCATCATAAGCAGGAAGTTTGTTTTTGTAAATATCTCTGAGAGTGTGTTTTGATTAGTTTAAATTTTAATTAAATTTTATCTTTTACATGAGATTTCAGAAGTGAAGATGAAGATTAGTGTGTGAGACAAAAACTATTTTAAAAGCATATCTGATATGTGATATCAGTGGTGATGGCGTTTAAAATCCAATGTTGATTTGTGAAATGCTTTTTAATGCTATTTCAATTCTAAATCTATTATAGGTCATTGTAGACAGAAATAATGCTCACGATTAAAAAACAGTTATCGTGCTTGAGAGCTACACATGCTGTAGATAAAGGAAGAACTTTTCCTACCATTAAGATAGATGCCAGCACGAAGGCATTTTCCCAGTACAGCTGTACTGGTACTCCACAATTAAGTTTTTCTTTTAGTTGTTGGCAGTATTCCATATTGGCCGGTACAAAGAAGATGCCTTCCTTCAGAGGGCCTTTTTCATTCAGGAACAAAAGAATATCCTATGGGGAAGCAAAGGAAAAAGACCGAAATGGCACTTGACACAGAAACAAGGGAACATGAACTTGCCCTCTTTGGCCACCAGAGGCTACAATGTACTAGTGTAGAAGCACTGAAGGATTGGAGCTGGGTGGATGGCTACAAAGATTACAGTCAATTTTTATGTAGAGCAGAATGGTGGTTCCTAAGGTGTAGAGGTGGTACTAGGGTTTGGGAGATTTTGGTCAAAGGATAAACAATTTCAGTTAGATAGGAGAATTAAGTTCAGGTGATCTACTGTATACTAAGGAAACTACAGTTCACAACAATGCACTGTACACCTAAAAGTTGCTAATGGTGTATTTTAAGTATTTTCCAGTTTTTTTTTTTTTTCTGTTTTTACATCCTCTACTTGCAATATAAGGAGGATGGGTTTTGTAGACATGCAATCTATGGGATTTGAAACCTAGTTATTCTACATACTTACTTTGTAACCTTGAATGAAGTTCTGAAACTTTAAAAAATTTGTCAAGAAATGAGGATGATATGATATTAACTACTTCTGAAATTTGTTGTGAAGGATAACCAACAGTGGCTGGCCTAGTGTCTGCACTTATAGGTGCACAATACAGAATGAAATGCCATACATGTACCATAGTGCTTAGAGGATACTCAATAAATTCTGCTTAGAAGTGATTGCTATATCAATTGCAGAGAATGTAAACTCAGTGGCTTTGATCTGACCCACTGTATATGCAAAAGAAGAATAAATGCCAGAGACTGTATCTTTATGCTTAAACACTTTAACTACAAATAAAATAATTCTTAAATATAAGATTCACTAGTCTCTGACACTAACATTATAAAAGAAAACTTTCAGAACAATGCAGAGTTCAAGAACAGATTTCTGAGGGATAATGAAGATTCTCTGTCTACAGAGGAAACCCTAATTTATCTGAGCAGGCTTATGTGGCTCTTCCTTATAATCAGTAGACTAGATTATCTCTTAGTCTTCCTTCTGATTCTATATCTGATTTTCATACTTTGAAGTAACCAGGGGTGTCTATAGTTTTTCCATTTGGAGATAGGTCTATCTCCCAGAGCTCTCCCTTTCCATGCCCCCTGTCCCATTAGTTTAGAGGACAAAATAAGCCTTACCATGATAGGTTTTGGCAGATAGTCGTTTTTACAAATACTTTTCAAAGAGACTCCAAAAAGTTTGGACTCAAGTGGATGTTCTATTTGAGCACCTTCTTCATTACAGTGATCCAAGTCACAGTCAGTTTTGTTTAAAACCTCTTGCACCTCAGGCTGCCTGAGGATGTCATCAGTGAACTTTAAAATAGAGGCCATGTTTCTGGTTCTCTGGCCAACTGTCTTTCCCGTATTGACACATGGGGCATCAACAACCTCATGGGTGTTGTTCTCAGAGGTATTTTCCAAAGAAAGTCCAAGGAGCTGTCCTGCCACAGGAGGAGATGTTGGCAGTGACACAAGTGAGTTGTCCTGGTCAGTGCTAGAAGCCCAACAACAGGCCGAATTGATGAGACATCTTCTCTTTTCAGATGTCTTCTAATGTGAATCTAACAAAGGAGTGGAATTATTAGCAAAATCAGTTTAATTCATTTTCACCTTATTTCTATAATTTCCATTTTATAACATGTTCCTTACAATGCCTCAAAGAGAAAAGTAAGTATAGATGTCTTTTGTTATTGAGATTTCACGATAATATTTTATAAAAGAAAGACGCTCAATGAAGAAAAAATCAAATATTTGAGTTCTCCCATCCATTTCGGGGACATCATCGGTCTGTTTAATTGAGTTTTGGTAGTAGATTTTTAAAGGTGAAAGAAAGGCTTCCTTTTTCACTATAACAACTTAAAGCATAAAAATGTTGCATACCAACACACATATTTTCCCATTTTAAAGATGAGAATAGGCATACAAAAAGTTAGAATTTGGTCATATTTAAATAGTGAGAAAAACAGAGAAGAGAGGATAGGAGGGCAAGATGAAGGGGAAGGGGAATTAGGAGAAAGAGAAGGCCAAGATGAATGGAAAGAGGATGAAGAGAAAGAGGCAGAAGAAGAGGAAGGAGGAGAGGATTTATCTGTATTAAAATGTTCCCTAGAAATAAATAATATTTCATTACTTGATGTCCCACTCTACTATTGAGAGCAGAGACAGGAAGCTGATATCCTATAATTTTTTCTTTCCCTTCCTAATGCAAACACCTTCATGTTTCTTTTCAGTTCCTGACTTTAAAAGGCATGTTTAAGGTAACATGGATAGATGCAAATATCAGTTAGACTTGCCCTTGCAAATGAAGTTTATAATCTAAGAGAAATGAGACTTCTCATAGTGGGTATAGAAGCAAACATAGTAAGGAATAAAATGTCATAAGGGAGGAAAAAAGTACTGAAGGCATTCAGAGGAAAGTAAATCACATCTATCCAGCAGTAGGGAGGGGCATGATCTTGGAGGCAATGGCATTTAATTTATATTTGGAATGAATAAGAGTTCAACAGATAGAGCATAGTGTCTTGCATATAGTAAGCACTCAATAAATCACTAGTGAACTACAATTGAAAATGTTAAGGGATTTTAGTAGAAAAAGCATGAACAAAATAGGCAGAAGTAAGAAACTTCAATAGTAAGATACATTATTATGATACAATAGTGTAAGAATGTTTTTGGTATCATCTGTCTAATTTTAACATGAAAGTTAAGATATTTGAGAGTTAAGAGCACAAGTTTTGATACATAAAAAGCTCTTTGAGGTTCCAATTCTAAAAGTAGATGACCCCTGCCTCTTCCCTGCAACACATGCATACAGGTAACAATTGTGCACTCTGCAGAAACAAACCAAAAGAAATCTACCAGAAGGCACTGAAGAGTAACCAAAACAAGGTAGAAGTGGAGGTGTAAGTTTGACACCTGTAGGAAGGGAATGGCAGAGCACTGGGTGAGTTTCTCATTCTCAGAGCATTTGGCCTAAAGGCAGGTGCCACAGTAGTGGGGAGTGACCGAAATTTAGAGAGAAACCTGTACTCTGGCTGGCTTGAACAACTAGAGAACCAAGATAGAGGTACCCACAGCAGCTGGGAAGTGAGGGGGAATCCAAGAAGGGAGAAAACCTGATAGTGGGAACTGCAAATAGTGTGTACATTCTTCCCAAATCTCTTGCTGACCCCTGAAGCATGCATTTGTGGGGCAGATTCCAAAGAGCCTGCAGTTAAGGTTAATGCAACCAGGATTTGAGGAACTATAATGACCAGATAGTGCCCAGTCGTGGTTGGACCCCATTTTCTGCAGTGAGAGGGCGTGGGAATTAGTCATTAAACTCTGGCTGTGTGGCATTGTTCCTTGTGACACCCAAAAAAGCTACCCAGAGATGATGGTTAGCTCCCAGCATTCCCTGATAATGAAACATTGCAGGAGAGCAGCTTTTCATGGAGGACACAGTCAGTGGTGTCAAAGGCTAATTTCAAAGAAGCCTTCCATATTGTTTGAGTATAACATATCTTAGCATTTTATTTTCTCAGAATAACCTACTTAAACCAAATAGTAAAAAGGCCAAGTTGTAGAGGATAAGCAAGTAAGCAACATTTTACCAAATGGCCATAAACCATCACCTGTGCTTCACTTCCTGGGATATAGTAAGTACGTCATCACGTACATGCACTCCAGACACACTCAGGTGTGTAAAGGTGTTTGCCTCTGGAAACAGCAGTCCAGATAGACTCCTGGTTCACATACTGATTTGGGCAAGTTACTTACCTTCTTTTCCTAGTCTTTAAAATAAGAAAAACTTACTTCTTTCTTGAAGGCTGACTGAGAGAATTATGTAGGAAAATGTGTGAAAACTACTAGAGTGCCCAGGGCATAGGTCACAGCAATCTTGATTAAAGCTGCCAAGATACCAATCTCCTCCTCACAAAGAGGGCCACCTCTCTGCATCCACTCTCCATTGGTGTCACCCCCCTCAGGAGGTCTGCAGACATGAAATATCAGCAATAGTGTGCTCAACTCAAGCACTTTCTTCCTGTCCTGACATTCCCAACCTCTGCCGTTATAAAAAACAGAAAACTAAACCCTGTCTTAAATCCAAGAAGGGGTCCCTACATGTCTAGCAATGTCAATCTGTGCAAATGTTTGTTTCATATGTACATTAATATGTATGTTAAGTAGTTGTATTCAGTCTTGTTTACTCATATTTTACCAAATTCTATTCTGCCCATATATCTCTCCAAATTAAGAATACCTCCCCTGTAGTCAGAGTAGGGAACACACAGGGGAGAACACTGGAATGATAGAGAAAACAGATAGAAGAAAAATACTAGTTTGTATCTGAATTCTCTGTCCTATTTCATCAGTCTATGTCTCTACTTTTGTGCTAATACAATACTGTTTTAGTTAGTACAGCCTTGAGGCATATTTAAGCCTGGTAATTTGATGCCTCCAAATTTGTTCTGATGGTGTAAGATTGCTTTGGCTATTCTGGCTCTTTTCTTGTTCCAGAGAAACCACAGAATTATTTTTTCTCAATTTGTGAAATATGATTTTCGCATTTAGATGGGAATTACATTGAATCTGTACATCACTTTGGGTAGCATGGACAATTTAGCAATGTTGATTCCACCAATCTACGAGCATGATATATTTTTCTGTTTGTCTGTGTCATCTGTGATTTCCTTCCTCAGTGTTTCACTGATCTCTTTGTAGACATCTTTCACCTCCTTATTCACATATATTCCCAGATATTTTATTTTTTGTAGCTATTGTGAATATTGCTGAGTCTTTGATTTGAGTCTCAGCTTGAATGTTATCGGTGTATAAGAGTGCTACTGATTTGTGTATGTTTATTTTGTAATGTGAAACTTTGCTGAATTTATTTATTCCCCAAGTCTCTTGGTGAAGTTTTTTGGATTTTGTACATATAAGATTATATTGTCAGCAAAAAGCAATAATTTGACTTCCTCTTTCCCAATTTGGATACTCTTTATTTCTTTCTCTTGCCTGATTGCTCTAGCTAGGACCATCCACATACAGGCAATTGCTCTTTTTTCTTTTTTTTTAAATTTATTTATTTATTTTTTTCTTTTTGAGACACAGTCTCACTCTGTTGCCTGAGCTAGAGTGCTGTGGCATCAGCCTAGCTCACAGCAACCTCAAACTCCTGTGCTCAAGTGATCCTCCTGCCTCAGCCTCCCAAGTAGCTGTGACTAACAGGCATGCACCACCATGCCCGGCTAATTTTTTCTATATATTTTTTAGTTGGCCAATTGATTTATTTTTATTTTTAGTAGAGACTGGGTCTCACTCTTGCTAAGGCTGGTCTTAAACTCCTGACCTTGCATGATCCTCCAGCCCCTGCGTCCCAGAGTGCTAGGATTTATAGGTGTGAGCCACCGCGCCTGGTCTAGCAATTGCTCTTTGACAAAGTAGACAATAGGTACTAGGGAAAAGAATCCCTATTCAGTACATGATGCTAGGAAAACTTGATAGCCACATTCAGAACAATCAAATAGGATCCATATCTCTTACCACTCAAAAAATGAATTACAGGTAGATAAAAGCCTTAAATGTAAGGCAGGAAAACATAAGAAATGAAGAAGAAAATATAGGAAAATCTCTTCTGGATATCAGTCTAGGCAAAGAATTTATGACTAAGACCCAAATGGCAATTGCAGCCACAATAAAAATAAATAAATGGAACTTGGTTAAACTGAAAGGTTTCTGCACAGCTAAGGAAATAAATCAACAGAGCAAACAGACAACCTACAGAATGGGAGAAAATATCAGTAAGCTATACATAAGATAAAGGGAAAATAACCAGAATCTACAAAAACCTCAAGCCAATCAGCAAGCAAAAATGAATAACCCCATTAAGAAATGGGCAAAAGACATGAATGGAAGCTTTTCAAAACAAGATCGACAAATGGCCAATAAATAAGAAAAAGCACTCAACATCACTAATCATCAGGGAAATACAAATCAAAACCACAATGAGATATCACCTTAATCCTGTTCAAATGGCTTTTATTAAAAAGGACAAAACAATAGATGCTGGCATGGATGCAGAGAGAAAGGAATACTTATACACTGTGGTGGGACTGCAAATTAAAACAGGATGGAGATTCCTCAAAGAACTAAAAGTAGACCTGCCATTTGATCCAGAAGTCCCATTACTGAGCATTTACTCAAAGGAGAAGTCATTTTACTGAAAAGACACCTGCACTTGAAAGTATATTGCAGGACAATTCAAAGATGTGGAGTCAACCCAAGTGGCCAACCAGTCATGAGAAAATTAACAAAATGTGGTATACATATACCATAGCATATTACTCAGTCATTAGGAAAAATGAATCAATGCCTTTTGCAATAATTTGAATGGAACTAGTGACCATTATCCTAAGTGAAGTATCTCAAGAATGGAAAAATGAATACCATATTTACTTGCTATTCAGTTAGAACTAACCAATGAGCACACATGTGCACGGAGGAAAGTAAAACTCAGTGGAAATCAAGCAGGGTGGAGGGGAAGGAGGGATGGGTGAAAACCTACCCAATGGAT